TGGGCAAGACACCTGTCTATATGAGTTTCCTGGACTACTGTGAGAAAACACTAGACTTCGCAGCTTGACGGATTCAAACTCACCTTCCCCCTGTTCTGGAGTCTGGAAGGGCATGGCCAACACCAGGCTTGGGTTGGTTATTCCGAGGCCTCTCTCTGGCTTGCAGACTTTTCCTGCCCTCAGGTCTTCCCTCTGACAGGGCCTGTTCCACTGCTCCTCTCAGAAGACCACTAGCCAAATTGCATTCATATTCTTTAAATCACCTCTATAAAGACCCCAGTCCTAATTAAAGCCACATTCTGAGGTACTGGGGGTTTGGATTTCAGGGTGTGAGTTTGCAGGTGTACCCCTCAGTCTAAATCTCTGTTTCTTCATTCGTTGTAATTAAGGTTTAAGTCTATCTAAGAGGCACACTTTGGCAGCGGGGACAGACAGCAGGGGCCATGCCTAGCAGACAGAGACAGGACCACAAGCCCCTGCTTCAGGAGTGCCATTCCTTCCTGCACTTTGTCATCTGAGGCAACCCAGCTGCTCAAAGACCCTGGCCTCTCCCTGCCCTCCCTGTCCAGCCCTGTTTGAAAAGGTGGCAAAGATGCCCCACCCCCCAATCTGAGTTGAGGCAGAAGGTCCCCCTCTTTGACACCAGCTTTCTGCCTAATTTTTAAAGGCTTCTGTCTGCTGACGAAAGGCACCGGTACTATTAATACAAAATTTGGTGGAAAATCTTTTCAAATCATAAGATAAGAACTCATTATCTCACAGCCCAACAATTTTGATGGTGTCTCATGTCCCTTAGGAGAGTTCGTTGTCCACAGAGCCTCATGTTGCTTTTGTGAAATTTTTGGGTTTTTTCATTTTGTTTTGTTTTGTTTTGTTTTCACCAGAAATGAGTTGTGACTGTGTGCATAGCTTTCTAACCTGTGTTGTTGGTTGTTGTTTGTTTTTTCCTCTAATAGCTGAGGATGAATGTTTCCTGTGTCCTGTTGCTGGTGACGCTGCCTAGCAGCCACGGTGGGGACACATCATCCCTCATTAGCCACGGCCCCAGGGTGTACATGTGAACCGTTCGGATGCCTGCTGGGCCACAGAAATTGCTTCTCTGATCCCCGAATTAGAGCAGTCTCTTCTCTTGTGTCCACTAGTTAGGAGAATGCAGAATGACTAAAGAGTGTGAAACGAAGCAAAACCACACTCACTCTTCATTGTTCAGAGGATCTTGCATGTGACAAACTGAAAAAAATAGGAGCGAGGGAGTGAAAAATGATCATTCAAGACTAAGGCTTCCTCTGGGAAGGCACTCCTGGATAAAAACAGGCATGACTGGTAATATCTGTTTCAGATCGAGTGGCTAGCTCATTGTAGTTACTGCTATACACAAACCTCCAGAAAATAAAGTTAGGCCATGTGTATGTGGGCTGATGGTGACAAGGGAGCACAAATCAAAGACTATGACCAATTGGACTTTATGCCCCCATGATCTAAATAAATGAAAAATACACACAGCCGGGAGAGCAATTATAACTTTCAGCAAGCTTTTAATGGAATATTTCTATTTTACTTATCACACATGCATTTGCATATATTTGGAGAGTGCTAGGGCATTATTGGGAGGGATATTATTTATTCTACTCACAGACAATTAAGGGTTCAAAGGGATCCAAGGAATCTTTTAAGTCACTTCCCAGTCCAAGGTGCACGGATGCTCACACACAAAGACACTCAAGTGTGTGCACACAGAAAGGCATTCTAGTGTCAGTTGGGACCGGGGAGCAGACAGTCTGGTCAGGGAGACAGAATTCTGGGTATTTCCAAGCCCTATGGCCAAGGAACTTGTTTTTTTTGCCTTTTCTTCCATGTGTTGTACCATTCCTGGAACATTCTGATGGGTGCTAGAACCTCTAGGGAAAGTTAGTGAAGAGGCCTGCCCACCCATGGAGCCGGCCAAGACAAGATTGGTAGAGCTCTGATGAGACCTAGACCAGATCTCACAAATAGAAGTGCCAGGGAAGCATCCTGAGCAGAAGGGGCAGAAGAGGTAAGACTACAGCTGCCCGCTTCCAGGAAGGGAAGAGAGTCTGAACTGCAGGCCTGAGGGGCCTTCAAAATGGTGGGCACGGCATGGCAGAGACACAGAGGTCTAATGAAGGTAGGGTCTTTCAATGGGTGTCTCAATGAGCAAGAGAGTGAGAATGGAGGATCACCAGGTGTCTTCCTTACAATGTCAAAGACACCGGCTCCACCCTGAAGGCCATGGAGCCAGCCATGGAAGCAAAACATGATCACAACTGTAAAAGTCCTTTGCATCTACCCTGTGAAGGCAGTGGGAGCCCAGCTGAGCTGCTGCAGAAAGGAGTACAGACTGGCAGAATGGGACAGGGCATTGGCTCTTCCTCCTCTGGGTACCCTACTGCCCATTTGTACATTGAAAGTGTGGGGTAGGATGCTCACTACAGGCCTTCCCTGGCCCCACAGCTTGGATCCATTATTGAACACCAGGATACCATGTCACCTCCTCTGCCCTCAGGCAGAGTTGGGGGCGGTATGGCCTGAAGCATTCCTCAGCGTCATATAGTTTAAAAGAAATGCACCACACCTCACTATAACTTCCAGAAGAAGATCTCATTAGCTATCCCTAAGTAGACTCCCCTGTCTGCACAGTCTTATGGAGGACAGGCCCTCACAGAAGCAATGGATATCCCTCTAGACTGTGCTGTCCTCCTGACATTTGCATGGTGAGGGTGTAAATGAGAGCATGGTGCAGTTTTGTCCGAGGGCAGGACTGTGGCGGTAGAGTGCCTCTGTGGTGCTCTGTAGGCCTATTCAATGGTATGTGTGGAGCTGTGCAGTGGATGTGTCTAAGCTGGCCTGGGTCAGCTCATCCCTACCATAGCCGACATCAGTGGGGCCCCAAGACTTGAGACAGTGAGCAGCAGAGGCACACCCCTCACCCCAAGCTGCTCATGACAACAGGGCACTTCCTGGCACCCGGCACACTTCCCTGAACCTACCTTCCAATGTCCCTGATCCCACTAGCCTAGGACACACAGACTTTCCAAATTCTTGTCCTCCCATGCCTAGCTTGGGTGTGTGATAGGACTGGCTGGAAGCCCCAGGATCCTATGTCCACCCACCTCTGCATCTTTAGTAAACAGAACAGCCCCCACCTCGCTTATATACAGCTGGATCTAATCTGAGGAAAGTGCTCTTGTCAATTCCTTCTTCATTTATCCATTTGCCGGCATTAAAGTGAGCTGTGGAGCCAGTTGGTTTCCCTATGTCACATCTTGAAAGGGGGTTGTGCCTGTAAATTACGAGATTATGAAGAAATGCTGCCCTAGCCTGGAATCCTAGAGATCTTAGGTAGTCACACATATATAGGGTGCACAGTAGCTTTTGACACTGACACTGGAAGGTCACTTTCCAGAGGAAACTCTGCTAAGCAGTGCAGGTCACCCAGACCAATGCCTATTCTGCAGAAATCTGCGTGTAAAGTGGACTGTCACTGGTGCTCACCGCCTCCTTAACATGCTGTGTGTCTCCTGAGCCAGAGCTCTGATCATGAGCAAAGTTCCTCTTTAAACTTAGCTTGGTTTCCTCCTTGCCTGTGCTGCGATGGTGTGTGAAGGGTCATCCTTTGCTAGTGAAGGAGACTGCATCCCGATGAGGACCTACCCAGCCAGTCATATGCTGGCCTAAGGCTCTGCCAAGAGTTGGACCAGGGCCCTAAGTGTCTATTCAGGAAGCAGATGACAGCTCTCTCTGGGAGCTCTGCACACCTTCCTGCCAGTTGGCTGGTCCAGGAGAGAGTCCAGTGCTCAGCCTGGTCTCATTGCTCACTCACTCTCTCACTTGCTCAGCTTGGGAGTGAAAGCAGCGTTATTGTGGCGGTTAGGAAGATTGTATAGTCGCTGGTCTGTTCTCTGCCTCTCTACCTGGAGCACTGGCCTCTTCAGGATGGTTTTGCCCTTCACAGGCAACCCGTCCCCAGTGGAGGGGGAAGGGACGGGACTGATTCTAGAGCCTCTAAAATCATGGACACTTGGACTATGAAGGAACCCAGAAAACATGCCACAGAGGGAGAAATCAAGGCTCTTGCCTTGAGCACGGTGGCAGAGACGAGAAACAAAGCAAAATCCAAACTGATAGCAAGACACACCCATGCAGGTTCCTGAACCTTCACAGGCATAGCTATAGGCCCACTCTGAGCACGCTGGGGCAATGGGGTCTAACTAATTCCCAGGCAAGCAGTGCTGGGCGCTCCTAGAATCTCTACAGGGGAGGTCACCCCTCCACACCTGCTGCTGGGAACACTGGCTTTTCCTCTCCTCCTCAGATGGCCCTGCAGAAACCAGGAGAAAGAGACATCTTTGCACCTCTCTATCCGGCGCTCAGGACATTAAAACCTTTAAGTCTTCCAGATAATTTCAATTAATTTCTTCCTAGATATCCCCATCTTGCTGCTGGTGGCCAATCTGCCAGTGTGAAACCTGGTGTTGTCACCGGTTCCTGGCTCCTGCTGAGAGCCGCCAACTACTCCATATGTTTTCTCCGTCTCTGCTGCACCCTCTCTGGCGACCTCTCTGCTACCTTCCGGGGCCCCTTCAACCCATTCCTTTCCCCAAGGCACAAACCTGCCCCTATCCAGATCTAGCGTCCTCCTTTATGAGAAGAAATTTCTGGGTCTAGAGCCGCCCAACTTTGGCTGGGGACGGGTGCAGGAGAGTGGCGTGGGTCTCCTGCAGCCCCTGGGAATGCGACCCTAGATCTTTAGACGGGATATTCGGCCACCCTAGATCTTAGGTCGCCAACCCCGCCGCCATTCTCGAGACTTGTGGGGTTGACAGAGCGCGGAGGGCTGCGGGCCCGACGGGGCTGGAGACAGAGCCCCGCCCCCGACGCCGCCATTGGTTGTGGTCGAGCGGTCGGCCCCTCAGCATCCTGAGCCCCGCGGCTCCTCTTGGCCGAGGTCCTAGCTCCGCAGCTGGGCGCGATCCGTTGAGACCCCCAGGAGCTGCCCACCTGATGCTGGGTGGACCGGCAGGAACCTGGACGCTGCGCTCTCTGGCCGCTCCCCGTCGCGCCCGCTCCCTCGCAGCCACGCGGGGCGCGCACTCCCACTCCCTCCGCGCGCGGCTCCGGGGCGCAATGGACGCAGCGCTGCTTCACAGCATGCTGGAGGCCAACTGCAGCCTGGCGCTGGCCGAAGAGCTGCTCCTGGACGGCTGGGGAGCGTCCCCGGACCCTGAGGGTAGGCAGGAGGAGAGCGAACTAGTCACACGTGGGCTTGCTCCCTGGCTCTCTCCTGCCTCCGATCTGAGCGGCACCCCGCGCCCCGGCCACCGCTCTGAGTCCCGTTGCGCTCCCTCTGTCTCCAGGTCCCTACTACTGCAACACGACCTTGGACCAGATCGGGACCTGCTGGCCCCAGAGCGCGCCCGGAGCCGTGGTCGAGAGACCGTGCCCCGAGTACTTCAATGGCATCAAGTACAACACGACCCGTGAGTGCCCCTCGCTTGTAGAGTGCTGGTCTCCCAGAAAGGCGTTCAGGAAGAGGGGAGGGCTCTGGACCACGAATCAGACACCTATCGAGGGCCTCTCTTGGCTAAAATAGCACTTACTCCGGGGACTCTCTAAATGGGGGGGCACGCCTTCTGTCCCTAACCCTAGGAGCTTCTAACCTTGGTTAGGCGATGGTTTGCCCAGAGTTTCTGTGCTACCGTTTGGATAGAGCTGAGCATCTTAGAGAGTAGGGAATCCTTCCTCTCCTCGGGGGCAAGCTTCCCTTACACTATTTGCGTGAAGTTTGCTCATTCGGGCTTCTTGTCTGTTTATATACTGCTTTCCCATCTCAGAGGCGATGCAGCGTGTGGGTATTAAGGCCCCAATCCTGTACCCGCATTGTGACTAAGGGAATCAGACCCTACTACTGGAGAGGAGAGATCAGGAGGGGGTAGGGAAACTAGGTGAGCTTGTGTATTGAGGAACATACTGCGTCTAGACTCTGGGAAGCCAGACGGGGACTCGCTCCCTGGACTTGTGAGTCTGGTGCCCTGGGCAGCATTACCTCTGTGTAACCTCAGGTACCTTTGTGGATTTAAATCACCACCACACCCCCACCTTCCAGGAAGAGCAGCGTGCAGCTTCCTTCCTCCTGGCAAGACCCATGATGGCTACAAACTATAGGAAGAGGGTAGCAGGGGCGGGGCAGAGGGGCATTCAGTCTCGGGGGTGTGTGTGCTTGTTTGTATGCACATGTCAGCACAAATGGAAGGTCTGATGGGAGCCGGGGCTGAGCTCTGTGAGGCTGAGGGTAGCAATGGCCGGCCCATCCGGACACCCTCCCTTGTCATGCTAACCTACATGGTTACATGGCACTGCTGAGACTCTTTGGCAAGCCGTTTGCCTAGAGCCCTTACATCCTAGCAATACTGCATCTCAATTAAGATCTACTTCCTTCATCAACACATACACATGCGTGTCCCAGCTCTCTGGGAGCAAGGAGGCCTTCACCTTATAAGTCCTTACAGCAAAGCCACAGTGCCTGCACTAAGGCCAGGCCGTGCTCCCTGGGCGCAAGGAGCAGCCTGCTCTGAAAAAGCTAGGACTGGATGCTCCTAATAAAAGAAAGGTCTGTGGAGGAAGGTTTCCTCCATCATCTAAGAAATGATGCTAAGCATGATTAGAACATCTCATTGGGAGGTAGTGAGGAGCCTGCCCAGGAGGTATGCAAGGAAAGGGATGACTTCAAGCTCTCTCCCAGGAATAACTAATTAAATTGTATTTTTAAGATGTGACCTCCATGGAGTTGGGCAATGGAGATCAGGTACTTAATTCGGAAGGTCTAAAGCTAAGGGGCCATGGATGGCCAACCGAGTGACTAAGCCTGGGGCTGCCTGCCGGATCTCCTACCCTGTTCCCCTCCAACCAGCCTGGAACCCCACCTACCCAGGGCAGGGCCTGACTCTCACTCCCAGAGCAGAGCTCAGCACAGAATCATATAACCAATTGCTGAACACCTACTATGTGCTAGCCACAGCAACTGTACTGTATTGAGGCTACCCTTGCAATTGCAGTAGACAAATAAAAGCAGAGTCCTGCTTCAGGAAAAGCAAGAGGATTATGGGAAGAAGGAGGCAGGGACATCACACACCAGACCCCTCCTATCAAATCAAACTAGAAAAAAAAAAAAAAAAAAAAAAGGTCAGGAAGCCACTGAGGTTGGTAAATGTGGTGGCAATTAGTCCTTGATGTCTAATCAACAATTTTCATTATTTGGTCCAAAGTGCTGTCTGCACCTTAGCTCCTGGAGAACACTGAGCTGCTGGTGGGGTGTTGGCTCAGGAAGGTACCTGAAGCTGGGAGGATGAAGTCCATCAGCCCTGGCTGGAAGAGGCCCCTGACAGGCGTGGAAATACCTGACTGATGATCCTCCTACCTCTGGCCAGCCCAGCACTACTGCTTCCTTCTGTTGGCCTTTCTGTGGGATCATTCTTTGGAAAGGAGAAAACCACTCAGTGAGAAGCATGGGGGGTGGGAAGTATCCTAATCTCATCATGTCACAGACACTCTTTCCCCACCCCAATTCAGGGCTTCTCTGAGGGCAGACATTGCTTGAGGACAGGAAATGCCCTGAGGAGGTGGCAGTGTCTGCAGAGGTGCTTGTGGTCTCTTAGCTCAGCTGAGTGCAGAGGACCTGCACAGATCCTCTAAGTGCTAACTACTGCCAGGTGCCAGACTCACCAGGGGAGCCTACTACCCACAGCCCCACTGCTGCCACTCCCCAAAGACCCACACTGTTTTCAGGCCCAGGTTACAGAGCCGAGGGGTGGGGCACAACTAGCTAGCTCCTGTGCACCAGGCCAGGCAGGAAGCCATGACCTTCATGCCAGCTCAAGGCAACCCCATCTCCAGGATGGTTCATTTCTCATGGAGAGAAGGCTCAAGCCTCCAGTCTGGAGGATTAGCGAGGACTCCGTTCTCTGAGCTGCACTTTTGAGGTAGGTTTGACTCGGCAGGTGGTTATACGGTAGGTAGATGGAGGTGTTCCAAGCCTGAAAGAGCCAGAGGAAGGCTTGTGGATGGGGTGTGCTTACTGCCTGGGAACTACGGAGTGTTGTAGAGCACAATAAGACAAAAACTAATAAGACCAGAGAGGGGCATGGAGAACTGAAGATGCACAGCACTGCAAAGATCTTTAATATAGTTACAGGAGAGAGTCTGAGCAATATTGTGAATAGAGAGGAGCTAAGCTGAGGTCCTCTGGGCTCCAGTGGGTAGAGAAGAGCTAAGCACACAACAACAGCCCTCTGGGGGAGAAGATGTTTTGGGAGCAGAGGAAGCTTCCCATGCAAGTGCCTTGGATACTGGAAGGAAGAGGAGCTGGCAAGGGATATGGAATTGCAGAAAAGAAATGGCTGAGCACAGTAGGGTCTCTGAAGCTCTGAGGGTTACCTCCGAGCAGAGGTATCCAAGAAACAGGTGGCTGGTAGCAACAGCCCCGGAGAGCACCAGGGTGGACATGAAGTCTGGGGCAGCTGTTGGAATGTGTGGGAGCCCATGTCAGAGAACACATCAGAGCTGTGATTGTTCTCATGCAGATTATCACCAGACACTACGGCCAACAACGGCCAAAGGAAAGGAAGGGACTGGGGCAGGGATCCACACCCAAGTCCATGGCAGAACCAGCTTAGTGCCTGTGTGTCCCATCTGCCACCCTGAGCTCTGGCATGCCTGTCTGCCCAATTTACTTACCATGCCTAGAGATGGAGACTTGGGCTTATCCTTATGTTACACGTTGGGTAACAAGAGGTTTGAAGACCTGAAGTAACTTACCCCCTAGTGGAGCAAGGATCCTAAACCTAGGCTTTCGGGAAATGACTCTGCCAGGTTAATCGGGGAAGGGTTTTGTTACAAGGGTCTTGGAGGACTAGGTGTGGTGATGGTGTCATTAATCCCAGCACTTGGGAGGCAGAGGCAGGTGAATCTCCCTGAGTTGGAGGCCAGCACGGTCTACATAGCGAGTTCCAGATCTGTCTCAAAAAAAAAAAAAAAAAATTGGAGAGGCTGGTGAGATGGCTCAGTGAGTAGAGGAGGTTAGCTCAGAAACCTGGGGATCTGAGTTTGATCTCAAGAACCTATGTAAAGGTGGAAGAAAAGGACTGACTGTACAGAGTTGTCCTCTGACCTCCATGTGTGTGCTGTGGCATGTGCCTTCCCCATCATGCACTGCACACACATACACACACAACTTATAAAATTAGGAAAAGGACACTAGATATAATAAAACCTATTATTTCTTATAATTATTATTCATCAATTAAAAACAACAACAAAGGGTATTGAAGGGCTCCTGGAGTCACTAAATTAAGGAGTTAGATTGGGTCCTGCCCAGGAACATAGGACAGAGATGACCCAGTGAGAAGACTGCCAGTTCCCTGTGTGGTGGATGCCATCTCCCTGACCACTGACAGTGGCAATGCCACTGCTCCTCAGTCTGAAGCTCCCTGCAGTAGTCTCTGAAGGGAGGGGCTTTCATCTCTATTTTGTGGGTAGGTGGTCTGTTGGAGAGGGGACATGATGATTCCTGCTCACTTGCTCAAGCTCTGACTGCCAGACTCCTGAAACTTCGGTGGGAGGTGGCCCCTAGCTTTCCCAAGCTTAAGTTCAAATCCTGGGCAGCTAAAACCAGTCCTAAGCTGTACATGCACAGCTTAAGCCAAGGTGAACCCTGTCCTTCCCGAGTCTCAAGCTCCCATCTACAGGGAGAAAGGAAGTGAGTTTTCAGCAGCAGCTTACTGGGGGAAACGGAGCCTAAATTCCACTTTATCCCATCTCCCCATTCATAGATTTCTCTGAGCCTGTGGATTTTGATTCACATCTCCAAGTATTCTTCCCCCTTTTCTTCCCTTTCCTCTCCTTCCATCTCTTTCCAACCCTCCCCACCTCTCACTATTCCTTCTCTACTCCTGATCTTTCTGTCCACAGATCACCTGCTTCGTCCTGTTCTCCCTTCCCTGACCCTTCCTTTCATCTCTGCCATGGTTCTTGGCTGCATATGGTGGCCTTCTGACTCCCCAAGATGTAGCCTATCATCTTCTTTCAGGAGCACCAGGCTTCACATTGCCCTCCTTGTCCATGTCAAGAGGAAACAATGGGGCCAGTACGTACTGAGGTATCCACAGGGCAGGGAGAGAGGGGATATATGCCTTAATTAACCAATGAAGGAGACTGAAGCCTCATTTCCCAGAACCCCATTCTAAAATAAAAACACAACCTAAGGGGCCAGTAGACAGAGAAACCTCCCACAAGATCTGTGTCCGTGGGCAGGAATCCCCTCTTTAGCACTGTGGAACAGAGGTGTCAAGAAAAGTTGTAAAACCCTTGGCCTCAAGTGCCCTAGACTGCTTCTAGACCAGACTTGCACAAATCAACAGTCAGACTGGGATAAGGGACAGAGCTGGCCCTGGACCATGCTGGGACTCTTCCTGAGGGCTGTAGC